GTATATACTCACGTGTACACGTGCACACACGCACATATGTATATATTCACACTGGATCACATCTACATACTGTTTGAAACCGGATAAAAGCATGCGACGCGAAAAACTTAGGTGCATTCGATACTGTGGATACAACGGAATCCTCTGCACTGCTGATACTAGCATCTGGATGTGGTGGCTTTCAAGGTGATATAAAATGACTATAAAAATATGATATGATGGTAGCGCGTCTTATTTGTTTGTTATTCGGCTATTTTAAAAAATATATACATAATCCGCAGGAACGGACTGTTTCTCTTTTTGTAAAAAAAGGAAACGCAAACAATGTTTTTTATATAAATATTTTAGAAGGCTAGCCTGTCCGACATAGTCACATAAAATACTTTATTATTATTAAAAATAATAGCCATCTAAAGAACCCTGTGTCTAATTGTCTGAAGGCTATGCAGACCACCAAAATGTTTATAAAAAAAAAAGCCCTGTTCTGCGGGTGAATGACGAATGTCGAGACACTCACAGTCTCAATGACAGGCAGTCTGTCAGACTGTTAAATTGAGTCAATGACTCACGAGTCACAACTCAGTGAACTCACCACTGTCACAAACCGATACAACTGTCAAGTATCCAGTTTTCGGTACATAATCTACACCTATCACCTGAAATAGAATACAACGCCTCAGACTAGAGAGAGATCCAATGTTCTGTCAAACCTGTGAACGTGAATTCGTGCTGTAGGCAAAGCCCTGTTTTGTGAAAAAAAAATGATAGTTTTAAGATAATAGACGTTAAACCACGATTATTGTTGTCTACATATTTGCTCTTATTTTATTTGCTTCAATATTGTCCATATTTTCTAGCCACCGGATTTAGGGTTTAGGGTTCTAAAACTGTATTTTGTACCCAAGCTCAATACGTTCTGCCTATATGCGATAAACTGAACGTAAACGCAGAAAGTTTAAAGTATATGAGGGCAAATCGACCATGAGATTTTTCCAAATTGCACCTGAGAAATTGACCTATATTAAAATGAAAGGGCGATTCGAAACTATTCACAACTGACACAAAGTGAAAAATAGGACAATTCGTGAAACTTAGGCCGCCTCAAAAATTGTACCTATTTGTAAACCCATAGGACTAATTTAGGATAAACTTTAAACGTAAACGCTTTTTTTGGGTAGTTTTTTTTGGGTTTTAACGGGAAACGTAATGAGGTTAGTTTTGTACAAGGTGTTCTTGACCACTCTGATTATCGTTCCAAAGGATGTTGGACAATAATCGAGGTTTGACTGCCAGAGACTGGTCACTGGGCACAGTGGGCAGTATGTTTAAAAAAAAGGGTTTTTTCAAACAAATATATAAAAACAAAATACAATCATTCTTCTGAAACAAGAGAGGAACGCTCAAAGTTGAAGGCTTGAGATGAGAATCGGGAGTCGGGGCTTGAAAGGGTCTTGACTCTTTTAACTCTTGAGGCCTTGCAGGCTTTTGAACCTTTGGGTCTTTTGTTAAATTTTTTTTTAGAACCGGCGGCGAAATTACTCTCCCTGTCAAAGTTTTATTCTTAAAATACAATTTCAGGAGCAGGATAATAACGAATAGTTTTTATAAATATAGTAGCCACTTAAATCGCCAAATGGTTTTCGACATAGTTGCACTTTTGGTTTACAATTTTAGTTTACAAATCACTGTTCTTTTTTTAAATTGGCAAATTTCTCATTTTTATCGCATTTATAGTCGTACTTATCCGATCCGTCAGATCTCATTCAGTAATTGTGTGGTTAAACTGGTGTGCCGATGACGGCCGACCTTGTGGACACAGGAATGTAATGGGATGCCTCATATGTATATCACCAGTGTCGACAGACATTCCCGCGAGTCGCAGAATTTCTATACAAAACGACCCAAAAAACCAATAAAACTATTAGTACTGAAACTAGGTACCGTCTGAGTCTCAATTCCTATTTTTTCACTCATCATCTGCTACCTGAATATATATATATATATATATATATATATATATACTAATAATGCAACTATGAGGTGCATATCAATCCAAACAAACTTGCTAGCAAACGTTATGGCTTATTTGAAGACCTTCAAGAAGTACTATCATACATATTGTCAGGTTGCGCTTCGGAAAAAGGTTTCTGGAGATCATGGAAGTGAACATGCTAGCTCAAACACATGCCCTCACGGTCTCTCAAATCTGCTCGTTCTTCCAAAGAAATGTCAGACTGATTTCGATGGTCAGCCGAACTTGGACGAATCTATGGCACTCTCGGTAGATCGTGCATCGGAGGACTCTATTCTCAACGATGATATATCAACGTCTCAGAACTCTAGCCCGAAGACAGGAGGTTATACAGCAGAAAACACATTCATATCAAATGACACCGAGGGAATTCCGTTAGCCAGCTTGGATGTTCTGCGTGTGTCTGAGGCGATACCGGCTGCTATGCCTACACTTGAGCCCCGTACAGCCCTAGTATCTTCCGAACCAGCAACCACATCACCTCGTCGGACTCCACTCAAACCACCGAGTCCGATTAAAACTGGACACCATGCATATAGAGCCCACAGGCTTTATATGAGGAAGCTATGCATTGCTAACCTAATGGGCCAAGCGGTCGCCGACGATACACACAGCGATACAGTACAGCACGTACCAACCTTTATATCAGTCAATAGTCCACAAGCTCGCAGAACTCCTCAGTGCGGCGACAAAGTGAGTGCATTACAATGTACGCCAAGGAGTTGTGGCTCACGACAACATGAGACTCGAGTCGCTGTTAGACTCCAAGTGCGATTCGCAGAAAATCCGATTGTACATAAAACATTCCATAGTTCAGTGTATGATAGAAAATTCGTGCTTGATTGTGACTGCCTATCCGTATTGAAAATTTACCATGAGCTTCTGGTATTCAAGCTCACAGAAATGATCGTACACGCTGATTCGCTAATAAACACCAACAAACACTTAGCTAAGCTCAGCGCGGACGATCGGCGCAAAGTAATCAAGATTTTGGAATACCTAATGTATACAGCTGGGTCTAAATAAATTAAAAGCGTCGAGAATAGTCGAATATTTAGTACATTTGCATGATATATTATGATATTGTGCGTTCGTATCATGGTCCGTATCAATTTGTAAGTTTATGAATTTCTACAATAACATCAATACCGCCTATAGTGCTTCTTTAGAAACTCTTGTCTGAGAGCAATTATTAAAACCTTACCAATGATTAATACGCTCCTGTCATAGACACACAGAGTGATAAGCTTTACAAGCACATACAAGGAAAACAAAGTTTACTAACGACCAGAGTCAACCGACGTAGGCCCCAGCACCATTATTTAGTTGATACTGTTCCGATATGACGGTCGTCACTTTGACTGGCCCCGTAGTGCAGGCACATGGAATATATAGAATAAAAAGAATTTGAGATTAAAAATAGCGTCTGCACTCTCCAATCTTATATGTTGAGTTTTCAGATACATAGGTACGCTCTCATCTGCTCATCGTTGCTGTCCGAACAGTACCGGATGAACTATCAACGAAGTAAGGTACCGTGCATATGGAGCTTGTCGGTCCATATTCGACTTGATAAAATACATACTATGCATAGCTGGATATATATACATAAATACACAAATTCACCGTCAGTGAAATTAACATTTTGGTTGTTTTGTTTTATATTTTTATATATAAAAAAATAGGCTGTGAAATTTATACAATTAGTTTTACAAAAACAAAACTTCAGTTGACATTTTGAGCGTTGGGATTCATAGTTTTGGCGGGCATTTTTTTTTACCGTAGAAACATACATACATAATTACATACATGCACATATTTACATAGCCTTCTACATGTTTTTAAAACGTACAATACTTTATTAGTCTATTTGCATATATTTCAGAGGGCTATGGTATTTTTTAGATGGAAATAGGAGACGTGGGCCCGCAGCCAGCCGCTACTCTCTAGTAGAGTCTAGACTATAGAGAGAGTATATACTACATAAGACGTATCTGTTTTAGTAAATAATGTATATAGATTGTAATAGCCTCCACTTGTCTTTTTATTTGGAGGCCATGATATTTAGTGCATTTAATCTCCTGGCGAAGAGCCAAAGAGCATCGCAACAACAATATCGTTGAGCTTAATAACTTGGTGAGTGACTGTCATAAAGTTATACGCAGTGAGTCCGGTTATGTATCTGAACACGGCTCGGGAATTTCTTCCGAAGCAGCACAACAGCCTTCTCTCCGCACTCAAGCTACAATAGAATGGAACACAGTTGAGAAACTATGGAGATCGCAGATATAATCCCTATTGGGGCTGAGGTGACAGTCAAGTACAAAGGAACTTACTGTGTGGGATACGTAGCGTCGTCGACAGATGATGTTCAGCTAAGAGTGCGATGTGAACTGTTGAACTGCCCAGAGTGGGATGTGTGCTCGAAGGTGAGTGTGGGTTGACGGGTGTGCTTGTATAAATGATATATCCTATCTGGAACCAACGCTAATGATTCTTACTCTAGAGCTACTACTCGCGCACGATTCGGTGTATCTGCCAACTCGAATACCGCCAGGTATACCACTCCGAGTGCTGCACACCACGTAGAACCACCATGAAAAAGTCAGGAGTAGCAGTACTAGCTCATACAATTTCTCGGTCTTCCTCATATGCTTGATGGAATACGCATGAACTATTATATATATATATATATATATATATAAGATATATAGATAA